TTCCCTTTGGTGTATGGACTTTATCTCCTCTATCATTTCATCCTTTTTCTGTATTGTTTCCCTCATATCCTCCTGTATGACCCCAAGCAGCATTCTGAAATTTCTTTCTGTGGCAGCTCAATGTCTGCTTCTTCTATGCATGTCGTTGGGTTCAGGACATCTTCACCATTGCCTTTTGTTTCTCCTGTTTTTTTTTTTTAGTCATTGGGCCTGATGGCTGTTTGCATTGCGTTGTTTTATGGGAGCCAGGTGCCATTTTCCAGGGAGTCAAAGAGCACTGGCTCTCTCTGGGAGACTTTTAGGAATACTTCTTCGAACTACCTACAGCTAACTTCACTATGAAATTAGCCTACCACTTTATCCTTCTGTGGCTTGCCTCTCAGGGGAGTGTCCCAGAAGGCTGGTGGGTTCCCTGCTTTAGTGTAGAACACCACAAATGATGGGTGGAATTGTTTTGGCTAGGTAGATCACTGTGTAGGTTGGGCAGAGGTTCTTGCAGCAGCGTGGACTATTAGAAAGTGTTGGATGAGCTGCCTTAGACAGTGTGAGGCACTAAGGTCAGCGGATGTTCCCTCAGTCACGTGGGATGAGAGGAAAAATAGGAGCTCCCCCAGCCACACAGGCAGGAATTTCCCGGCAAGACATTGGGCAGACTGTCCCCTGGTGGAGGTCAGCCAGCCTTTCCCCAGTCTTGGGCTACGCTGCACAGGGTGGCGCTTAAATAACTGGGTGGGGGGTAGGTATAAATGCTCTAGGCTACAGGGAGTGGTCTGGAGGTAGGCAGTGGAGTGAGAGAACAGGGAAGAAGAAAAAAAAAACAGCCCGCTGAGACTGTGGGGGGATAGAGAGAAGAGAGGGAAATAAAAGTAACAATATAGCTGAGCCCTGATCTTTGCCCGTGGGGCTGCAAGCCTTTATTCCCTGCCCCAAGGTGGCAGTAAGCTGTGGCTGTGTTGAGATAAAGCCCCTGTGCTGGTTCCAAATGGCCCTGGTTCCAGCCGAGACAGAGGCAGTGCTAAGGTCAAATCCTAGCCAGCCTCCACTGTGGTAAGCCAAAAGCCCTCAAAACCTTGTGCATCTGTGCCTACTTATCTTTATGATGCTCCTCCTGAGATCCAGCAGTGTTGAATTTCCCTCTTAGTAACTCTCCAGGGCTGATTTCTGCGGAGTCCCTCTGGTATGTTACTCAGTTTCCATCTTCCCGGAAGTCCCTTTCTTCTATTTCCTTTTACTTTCCTCTTGTCCTACTATCACGTTCAGCCTTTGTTTGGGTTTCAGTAATTTCTCTGTTTCACCGCCCATATTAACCCAAGAGAACTGGATCCTTTGGGATTTATGGTCTACAGGTGGGTTTTATCAATCTGTAGAATGTTATGTAAACTCTTACATATATAATGTACACACACACACTTGTGTACAAAAAATCTTGGTGATACCATGGTAAGCACTCAGCTACAACAGAAGTGAGTGGTTTGAACTACCAGCAGTGCTCTGAGAACGATGTGGATAGGGCAGAACTGCCCCCGTGAATTTCTGAGACTGTAGTGCTTTGCTGTTTGCAGTTAGCAAGGTAGATTTTACAGCCTTGGGTTTCTCCTCTGTCCTATAGGGCCAATGTGAGCTGTCGCTGACCTGATGGCAATGGGTCTCTTTGTATGCCCACTTATTTCCTGAAGCCCTTGTTTATTAAAGTAGAAGTGTAGCATTAGCTTTGCTTAGGAAATTAGCAAAGTAAATTATCTGTTGAATCAGAAACTGTTGAGGGCCTTAGTCATGTTTTAACAAATGCTTCAGATAGTTCTGATGTCAAAAAAAAGTTGGAGCATACTTGAATTTGAAACTGAAGGCAGAAAGTGGGGAGAAGCCACTGACTGCATGCTGGCCTCGTGTGGTTAAGTGATGCTGCCCGGGTGAGTTGGAAAAGTGGTATTGACTGTGCTGATATTAACTAAGGTGATACATTTTATTTTAGATGAATGTGGATTTTGACTAATTTCCAGTGGTTATTTTCCTATAAAAGTCCTGCGTGTGTGTCAAGAAAATGGGCTTTGGAGTCGGATAATCCTGACTTTGAGACCCAGCACCTTCATTTATCAATTAGATAGGTCTAGCTACATTAGTCTTCCTAAACCCGTCTATCTTATCTAAAACTATTCTGTCAGAAGTAGTTATACCCTACACTATTGCTTATTTATGCTAATTGAAGATGATTCCTTTTATTAAGACCTTGTTCACATAAATATCTGGTCAAGCTTTTAAAAATCTGGAATATTAAAAATTAATTTTTTACTATTCCACTTCACTACTTTAACTAGTCTGACCCCAATGATCACTTACACTGCCACTTCACTTTCACATCTTCCTAGACGCCACCTTTTGTTTGACTTAAATAGCTACTTTTTGTGTGAGTCACATTGCTTGTTTTATCAGTTTAAATATTTTTAATTAAGAAAATTTTTTTAACATAATTCTGATTAAGATTCAGAATTCGTTGTTAGTGATTTAAAAATGAGAACCATCAAATCTATTGCTTAGAAAAATGAGTCTAATGAAACAAAATAAAAACAAGATGAAGATTATTGGACTAGTAATACTATTATGATTAGAAACCATAGGATCCGATGGTATTTGGAACTTCAGTGTCCAGACCTAAATTCTAATTCTACAGACATGAAGAAAACTAGAGTACTAAATAAGGCCCACAGTTAATTAAAAAAATAAAAATAAAACGATGGGGCTCTGATATTAAAACCTGGGATTGGTATACTAGAGTCCCAAGTAATAGGCCATTCTTTGTAAAGCTCACAGATCATAACAGATTTTCAAACTGCATTTTGGAATGCCTTCAAAGGCCTTCCGGGGAAGGAAGTAGGTAGGTTTGGGAGGACTAGGAATTGGTAGGCTGTTCCAATGGCTCCTATCGCAGAGAGCCCACAGGATGAACCTGGCCTGGGACTGGAACTCCATTTATTTATTACCTTTTTATTGTACACGGGGTGAAGGTTTACAGAGCAAATCAGTTCTCCACTAAACAACTCACTAACGTTTATTTCGTGCCACTGACTGCAGTCCTTGTCCTGCAGCATCATTTAGCACGTGTCCAGGGTTTCTGTGATTCAGCCTCCGCCTTTCCCAGCCTCCCTTCCCTGTCTTCTGAGCTCGGCCCTTAGGCACATGCTGCCTTTTTTATCTCGCAGGATCGGTTGCTCTACGTAGTGCTTACCTTCCTTGTGTTATTGTTCACTTCACAGACCACTACCCAACTAGTAAGGCTGGTCTTGGAGTTCCCTTTAAGCTGCGATTTGAGGATGGCTCAAATAAATGGCATAGTATACTTATACCAGGCACACTTAATTTCTCACATTTATAACAAGATTTCAGCAATGTAAGCATACCTGCTAATAGAAATCACTGGGTTTATGTAAGTCTGTCTGGCAGGTGTCTCCTATTTGTACCTGAGTATTCATTGGTATGCCATTAAGTAAATAAAAAAGCAGAAGATAAGCTTCAGCTGGTTTCCTATTAAGAATATGCTCAGTACTCAACTGTGCAGAAACCAGACAGACTTTCTTTTTTTTTTTTTTTTCAGACAGACTTTCTTATAGATATATTTAACCTATGAATAATCAAAAGATCACAGTGCATCCATTTCTGAGGCTGATATGCAGTAATCATTGATATGCAATAATCATTCTCTCATTTTTAAATCATGATAGTGTTTTTGAGAACTCATTAAATGAATTCAATTTGAATAAATTTTAAGTGAATGGATTATATTTAGCACACTGATTTTATAGACAGTAAAGGTAAATAGCAATACCTACAGTAGATGATGAATATTTAGCTACAGTTGCATTTAGCTTGGTATAGGGGACTGGGCTAAATTAACACTTTATTTAATTAAGCCAGCTTTTTTTTTAAATACATTTATTAACCAATGTTAACACATTAAATGAATCTATATATTGCTAGTCAGAGCAGCTTACAAAATGCCAGAATGCATCATAGAACTGAACAGCCACAATGAGTAATTACAATGTGCATAGTGGCTAAGCTCAACACCTTAATATAGCTTTATGATTTGCAGAAAATTTTAATAATGATTCCTAAAACAGCTGATTGTATTTTTACCTAAAACTTTTACAAAACCAGGCCACAATCTTTTTTTAATTTTGTTTTTTTGTTTTAAACACACAGTTTTCACGCTGTAGCAACTTGGAAATGTGCAACCGTGTCAACAAAGACAAAAAAGCCAAAGTAACACGAATCTTACTGTCATGCAGCTATCAGTTAAATATTACAGACTCTGGAATGATTTTACACCAAAAATAGTTCCACAATAACTTGCTTTCATAGGGGTGGATCGAAGTTTTAAAACGCGAAAACAATCAACAAAGGTAAACTTTCTTGGTGATAATGTTATTATGCATCAATCAGTACCACAACACAGTGGCAACATGATTAATTACACAGTAACAGCAAAGGGCTAACCACTCCAAGTTACTGCATAATTTAGGGCTACCGTGTCATTATTACAAAATATCGTGCACCATTGGGCAGTAGCTTGTCAATTAACTTGTGTCCCCACCATCTTCAACTTTATCATCAGTGGATGGATGAGTATTTCCCAGAAGACTGGGGTCTACTTTTATCTTTAGAGTGACCCTGACAAACCTAGAGAAAACTTTTAAAAAGGCTCTTCTCCTGACTTTCATTTCCATTGTGTGTACTTTAATAAATATCGAAGATCTAAATAAATATTTACAAATTATTTCTCTAACCTCAAAAAAACCCAAAAAACTAAATGAGAAATGGGAATTTGACTTGATCTAAGATCAGTTAGCCTTTGAAAAAAACATAAATTGTGAGACATTAAGGGAAAAGGTAATTTCAGTTTTCCTGGCTGCATTTTATATATCTATGTATAAAAAAATTATTATTCAACTATCGATCCATTCCTATTGGTAATGCTTCTTAATCCAGACATTCCGCAAAATACAGACTTTTTACAAATCACGGCATCTTTAATACAAGAAAATTAACATGCATTATTCTTCATTCTGTGTACAGTGATGGAGTTCATTAATAGAATGACCCATTACTACAAACATAACGGCTCCTGTGAAACCTAAGTGCTTTCTTTCCTTTCAGAATGAACTGACAACACGCCAGGTGACACCAGATAACAGGCAGTCAGATGATATTTGAGGAGGGAGGGAAGGAAGCATTAAAGAAATTTGAATGCCTCATCTATAATTTCTCATATGGGTAAAGGTAGTTTTTGGCTTTTTATCTTGTTGTTTACTTATTTACTTTGTTACAAGCACTCATGTTAGGACAAAGATGAAATGTGCAAACTTTAAAATTTAAATATTCATTTTCTCTAAGATCCAGCTCAGTAAAAGATTACCCCAGTTCCCTGCAATTTTAAACTACAAGATCAAAGCTAATAATTTGTTATAAAAGTTATATATTGAAAAGAAATAAATGAAAAACACAATTGGGAAATATTTAAGAAAAAATATGCAGGACTAGCACCTGCTGTGTCAACCCTGTTCCCTAAATTCAATCACATACCCACTGGCATAACCAATAGATAATGCCTTTAAACAGTAAATTAAGCTGAACAAAACCAGCTCAACAAGGTTAAGAAAAAAATGTTACATCAAGGTAGTATGTTTTATTTTTGAAGCAGTTCTTACATTCAGATCTCCTTTAAAGGTTTCTTTGTTAAACTCACTGTAGTCACCTGTTGGTTTTTTTAAAGATCTGTTGTTTAAAGGTTAAAATCTTTGTAAAACCTAAAAATGTTTTAAAATTTGCTGAAAATGCAACAAATTCTCAATTAAAATTTATTTAAAATAATACCCTCCGCTGATGTTACTTTGACCTCCAGAAAAACTCCAGAGGAGCGTTAACAAAAGCTTTAAACTACTGTGCAAAATCTCATCCGAAAAGTGTTGAAAGGCTGGTGCAAAATGGGAAGCAAATTCTAAACAATTTTGGCTTCTTGGAAACAAAAACCGCTGTGTCTGAGAATAGTGATCATCGGGTGGTTCTCCAGGAAGAAGACAGCTTTCATCTTTTCCGGCGACAGGTGCGTTTGTGTTCGGCGTGCCAGTGCTCCTGCTGACACTTGATGGAGCAGTAGGACGTGTTCCAGCAGCAGTGGTACATGGCTTCCTCTTCACAGTTGTAGCACTGCGGGCAGCACAGAAGGGCAAGGGCAGGAGTGCAGGTGGAACAGTAAAGAAGCTGGTTACAATGGTAAACTTTTGAAGTCTAACTTTCAAGATATTATTACAACAACGGTAACATGTAACTAGTATCATCAAGAACATTAGATTATGTTTTATAGAATGAAAATGAAAGAGTGATTGGAATGACTAATGCTGAGATATGTCTTCAGTGATCAGGAAAATCTAACTTACTACAATGCCACCCCCCCCCCCCACACACCCACACACACACACCCACACACACAGCTGCATGAGGTCATTCCTCTCACAAACACTGGGAATTTCTCTTTTCTTTTGCTCCTGACCACTCATTTTTAATTCTCCCCTGTGTTGTCACGGAGGTCCCATGGGAGCAGGGGACTGTCTGCTCCGGTGAAGGCACAGCGCCTCGGCCTCCACGTGAGGGCAGTGGGTTTCAGATATGACCAACTCCAGCGGTCCCTTTCCAGTCTTTTATTTGGAATACTTGGAACTATTTTTAATTGTCAAGACTGGGGGGAGGGAGAGGTGCTACTTATTTGCATCTAGTAAAGAACAGGGCTGCTGTAAACATCCTGTAAGGTACTGAGATCGAGAAACATTGATATAAACCAGCGGTTCTCAACCTGTGCACTGCGACTCGTTTAGGGGGGGGTCGAACGACCCTTTCACAGGGTTTGCCCACTTCATAGCAGTAGCAAAATGACAGGTATGAAGTAGCAACAAAAGTAATTTTATGGCTGGGGGTCACCCCAACATGAACTGCATTAAAGGGTCGCAGCATTAGGAAGGTGGAGAACCACTGATAAAGAATCCATGTAATGTATTTTGCCAGGTGAATGGGCATGGGAAAAACAGTGAAACAGTCCAGAGCTCAGATTTTAAGCTAAGCGAGTGGTAGTATCACAGACAGAAGTGAGGTGAGCAGGGTGTTGGCACGGACAATGAGAGGCGGAGTGTTGGGACACCTAACACTTGAAAATGGGTCAGTAAACTTATGTAAGTTGGACAGCTGGGTAGTCGAGTAGATTTTATTATTGATGACAGGAGTCTTGATGGTATGACTCGGGGAAAACAGCCTGCGCTTCGTATCTGAAAAGACGGCCCTCACATTTTCATGACGGTGTCTTCTATCCTTTCTGGTCTAATGTAATTGATCATCTGAGAATGTCTAGTGATCTTATGTCAGCAACAGCTTTAGTGAGGGTGCTAATTGAGAAAGGTAGCTAACGTGAGTTCATATTGGAAACTGTTTGGAATAGGTCAAACAGATCTCTATCTGAAACTTATGCTCACACTACCAACCAATTTATGTGACTTTGGACAGTTTTTTTCTCCTTTTCTTTTCCTCATCAAATATTTCCCTATAAAAGTTGCTTTAAGATGAAGTGAGCATATGTTTAAACAGCACTACCGATCCTGCCTCCCACGCATCCTATTTATGGTTTATTTACTCATTTAGTAATGTATTCATTCATTCATTGATTGAGTTTGCATCTCTCCCGGTCTTTGTTGGTTTATTTAAGGGACAGACCTTCCTTAGTAGGCTTCCCTTCACTGTGCCTCACCAGAACAGCCATTTCTTTGTCCCATGACATATTTGCATGCCTCTGTTCTGCTATATTACACTGTCACTAAAATTATTTCTACATATCTTACAGTGTACTAGAAATAATGTGGAGTTCTAGGAGGGCAGTGGCTACACATTGAGCTGTGATCAACAGTCGACAGTTCAAAGCCATCAGCAGCTCCTTAGGAGAAAGACTGGGTGTTCTACTCCCCTACACAGTTACCATCTTGGCAATCCACAGGGGTAGATAGGAGTCACCACTGACTCGAGGGAAGTTGAGGAAGAGTGGGAGAAATCATGTGATAAGTTTAGGATTTAGAATCTCAGTTTAGGTACAGTCCTAGCTCTACCAACTGGATTTTTAATCATTCTATTAAATCTCATAAGTAGTGCCAGATTACCTAAAATAGGCAAGGTAAGTGTGAGCTTCCCCGTACTTATTAATATGTAAGCACAAGTAAGTCCATGCTTATTATGGTTAATGGGTAACCTGTTCCTGCTCATAAGCCTCAAGTTCCTTAACTAAAGACTGAGTATGCAATTACAACCTCGGCTATCTCACAAATGGTAACCACTGGCGATTGAGTTGGTGGATTCTGACCTTGTGTGTGTATCAGAGCAGAACTATGTTCCATGTGATTGCCAATGGCTGATTGTTTGTTTTTTAAGTAGACTGCGCGGCCTTTTGGGCAGCACCTAAAAACATTAACTGTTGGCATGATATAGGGACTTCTCATAAATGGCAAATTGCTATAACAAGCAGTATTATAATTCTGTATTATAGATTCCTCTTCTCATTTTTTCAGTTCCTGTATTTTTTTGGATAATTTTATTGAGGGGTTTTACAATTCTTATTACAATCCATTGTATCAGGCATATTTGTACATACGTTGCCATCATTCTTTTCTAGACAGTTACTTTATATTGAGCCCTTGGTATCAGCTCTTCTTCCCCACCCACCGCCCATGACCCCTTGACAGATTATAAATTATTATTTTCATACCTCACAGCGACCACTGTCTCCCTTCCCCCAGGGTTTTCGTTGTTCTTCCCCCCTGGAGAGGGGTGTGTGCCGATCACTGTGATCGGTTCCCCCTCCGCCCTTCAGTTCCTTCTTTAGTCAACTTATGGAGCTATCAAGCCACAACTTGAGGGTCTGCTTTCTGCCCTTTTTAGCTACTACATGAAGTTAAAATCATTGCAGACATTATCGTAGTGTAGTCTGCTCTGCTGTTACCTTGAGCACACCGAAATTTCCATGTAGTGGTATTCACTTCTTTACCCTTTCAAGCTGTCTTTACATGTTTTCCTAAATTATATGCTGAATTCCTTCATTTCTGCTTCCCAAATCTTTACCACAATTTTATGTTTATAATTTAAGTGATCACAAAACATGTAAGTCACTAAAATTAAAATCCAAGTTCAGAGCTTTTAAAATAAAATCTTTTCTCTGCCAATTTACTACAGCATTGTGGAGGACCATAAGAAAAGCATATCACTGTGTGCTCACAAAGCATACTCTTTAATCGGGTTCTAGAAGGATCTCTGGAGGCATTGGGCTGCGAACCACAAAGTTGGAAGTTCGAAGCCAACAGACATTCTGAGAGAGACGGGGCCGTGGCTTCATACAGACGTGTGGTTAGTGAAGGTGACTATGAGCTGCACTCAACTCAGTCGGTATGCTTTTAGGTTTGGGGAGGGAGCACAATAAAAAACTCATGAGATATGCTAATTTTTATTTATTATATTATCTACCATATAATCCTAAGTAACATTTGAAAATCTTTAATTTACTATGGCGAACCTCACATTTTCAATTTCAGTTTTGATATTAACGTAGATAAAAGGCTTATCTCAATAAAGAAGTTCTACTAAACTATACTAAAAACTTTATGCATTAGTTTCATAGTCTTATTTTAACAAAACAGTTCTAAGCAATTATACCAAAATGTCAGATCTGTGATTCATATATTACAGGACTCTTCATAAAATTAAAAAAATTAAATCTGTGAATTACACATTTCATCTTATTTCAGGAATGATTTTGCATCTAGTAAACATACTTTTCTGAATTTATTTTAATCATACCTGTGGTACATTTTCAGAAATCAGCTGATTAAAAAACTAATGATATTTACCCACTGTTTTTTCTTGGTCTGAGAAATTAGTTGTTTGTGCTGTGTTGCTAGCTTCTTAATTTCTTCTACAAATTCTTCTTTACACTTTTCTTTTACTTGCTTACATTTTCTGTCCATCTCACCCTGCATATTGGCTACAGCTTTATTTACAGCTTGTCTCTTTTCTTCTTCCATTTCAGAACGCAACTGAAATGAAGAAAGTTAAACCACAAGGTGTCAGGTCCATCCACTTAAATAAAACCACTAAGACATAGTTCCTTCTCAAATGATGTAACTCTTTTCTTTATCTCATTAACAGCTGTGATACATTTTTTTAAATCTGTAAAAATTTATAGGGAAAAATTATCATTACTAATTGAAGTAACATAGGAGAGGTTTTATTAGAGCCCTACTTATAAAAAGCTGCTCTCTGATTAATGTTTAAGTAGAAGAGGCCAGTAGAGCACTACAGGCAATGCTATTCCCTCCTGTTGCCCAGGCTGCACAGAGCAGTGTTGTGGCTGCCATCGCTAGCTTTACCTTCTCCAGAGCTTCTCGCACGACTCTCTCTGTTTCTCGCTTGTGATCAGATTTCATTCGGTCTTTAAAGTCATTGAAAATTTTGGTGTACTTGTCATGGCACATGCTTTGACACACTCCATCATTCGTGGTCTGAGTGCTTCGATGCAGCATTCTTGGAGAAGAGGCACTTAACTTCTTGGTCTGAGTTGAAACTGAAACTTTTTCGATTGGCTGAGGCATTGTGGGAATTTCCTGGCTAGAACTTACTGCTTCAGTTTCAGGCTCTGGTTCCTACAGAGTAAGAAAAGTGCTTAGACCTAAAACAAAGCAATATAATTTACCAATACAAGAACAAGCTCCATTAGGATGAAAACAAATAGCCATGTAATGAACTGCTGTTGAAAACATGTATTTAACACTTAAAATAATTCTAAACAGTGACTTTGAATGTGCATTTGGACCCTGCCGTTAAATGTGGCCAAGCTTAAGCACGTCACAGTCTCTTCCAGTGTTCATATCCTGGCCTAAATGATTTTGTAGTTAGGCGCTTTATTTTTTAACAGTGATATGGGGGATAAAATCAGAGTTCTCAAGAATTGTAGCCCTGTAATGTACCCATCCCACTTGGTCAAACTTTGGTGAGTAGTTACATAATTAAAAGATGGAGACTTTCAGCATGTGTTTGTTAGTCTAGAGATGTAGATAATTACAAGAAAGCTCAGGAAACTGGGTTCAAAAGTGATGTTTGAATGACGGAATTACACAAGTGTCCACCAGGTACAACTGTCTTGACCATAACTTTAAAAAGATTTCTTGTTTCAAATGCCACTTGGACACTGCATGTCAGAGTAACTTACTTCTTTTTTGGGTTCCACACTTTGATTGCGTCGTCCTTTCTTTGCTCTTGGTTCTTGAGTGACCTTCAGCTAGGGCATCATGAAAGGAATAGCATATTACTACAGATACTAAGAAGTACTTTTCTGCGAGTAATGGACCCGTAGGTGAGAAGTGAGTACATTTGTTCACGGTTTCCATTAGCTCTTTCAAACCACTTGCTTAATTACCTATTTTGGCAATAGTTGGCTTTAAAGAGTTAATAACTTCAAACATAAGCAGTGTATGCGGGCTTTCTTCCCGGCCAGGACGGAGGTGCCAATGGTTTTGTATTTATTTATTTGAACTGGTTCTGATTGACTTGTACAAAGCACTTTATAAATGTTTAAATGAAAGGAAACGAGGTCAGAATCTGTTCATTCGAGTAAGGAATGTATGTCCACTAGCAATTTTCGCATTTAAACAAATGAGGAGTAGTTTCACCTGCTCATTACTAGTCGAAGAGATACTGGACTCGGCCTCCTCTTCGCCGCGGTCCTCGTTCTTAGACTTCCAAAATCTGCCTTCCCGCAGGAAGCGCTGATGCAGTTCCAGCTCATCACACGCCTTCTTCCAACCCATGCTGCGCTTAACGTGCAACCGATGGATATTGACTGTGATGTCTTGTATGTTTTCAGAAGGAATCCAGGCCCTGGGGAAAAGATTTAAAGACAGAGTTAGAAATTTCTAAATTGGCAGGAAGAAATATACATATAAGGGTACTTAGTAGACTCTACCTAAAGTATAATTTTGTGTCAATTATAATCTAGCATATGACCTGTTAATTATGCCTTGAAAAAACAAACTCCTACCAAAATCAGAAGCGTTTTTTAAAGTCACCAAAGCAAAGCTCTCAAAATTGAAGTGCCTCACAAACACCCCCAATTATTGAATATTTTCTTTAATCTGATAAACTCAAGTCGTAGTTCATATCTGTACTTTAAAACAACTTCCTTTTATTTTATGCATTATAAATTTAATTTTATACATTAGCAGGACCATGTAGCTATTTTTAGATTAGTATTACACAATCATTTGAAGCTGTCCTCTAAGTTTCATGAGATACAAAAATGTATCCTCATACAAGGAGGGTTAGTTATAAAATACTGCCTAGTGACATATGCCAATAGTCACTAACTATTAGATAAACCATAATTAATGAACAGAGAAGTGTTGGTGTCATTTAGTAATAAAATGCTTATCTATGAACACAAATGCTTGAGTCAGGTATAAAATTTATCTGAAGTTACAGAATGGAAAAACATTCAGTTCAATTGGATAAAATGGTAAAGTTTCAAGAATATTTTCACGGCATTTATATCATAATTGGATTTAAGTTAGTGCCAGCCTAGAATGTTGTATCAATTCAACAAATACTACTAGAAGCCACGCTAAAAAACATGAAGGTGAATTTGTCCATTTGAACTTATGTTCCCCTGCCTCGTTTTTCCTAGCTGAGAGATGCTGCCCATGTTAAGGTAAACATTGAGTGGCTGGGTTCGATCTCGTGCTTGTTTTGCGTGTAGCTAGGTGCCCTTGGGTCAGTTCAGACCAAAACACTAACCCGTCCTGCACCATCGTCACAATAGCTCCTGTTTGAACCAATCGCTGCAGCCACTGTTGTCAACGCATTGCCTCTACCTTTAAGGAATTTATAGTTCTCTTAGACACAACTAAGAAAATAAAATGCAATGCGGTTATGTACAACGGGTGGTTCTGGTGTGCTGTGGAGAGGCAGAAGTTCTTATTGTGTTGTGATTGATTAGATGGCTTCACTTTGCCTTGATCTTGAAAGATGAATGGGATTTTAATAGGGGACCATAGGAAGGTACACACCCAGGCAGAATTTTCATAAATAAAAATCAAATGCATATTAAAATATTCTGCTTATAAACGTAATGAAATAAATTCTTATTAGTAAATTACTTGTGGTTGAAGATATAAAAAGTACAGATTTCAATTATCAAATTGATCTCACCTACTAGCATGAATTTTAAAAATTATCAAATTCATGGTTTCCTAAATTAACTTTTATTTAATAAAATAAATGAAATTGAAATAAACCTTGCCCCTATTCTTTGGATATTTGTATCACAATCACTAATCCTTACTGAGAAGTTCAGGTACTGTGTATTAGTGTGCAGGGTTTTTTTTAGCCTTTCAAAAACCCTGGAGAGAAATACTATTATTAAGGCCCTTATTTTACAGGTAAGGAAACTACAGTTCACCGAGATTCTAACAAAGCTTAAGGATAGAGAAGGAGGCTGTGTTGAAGCCAGAACACACAGACTTGATTCTACCTGTTACTCCTGGGTTGCAATTTAGAGCCCACTCTTAACATATCCATTAACCCACCTGTGCTACAGCGCCTAACTTGATGCGAAAACGAAATCAAATGAATATGATGCATGCAACATGTAACTTTCAAAGTCAATCATTTTATAACCATACAATTAAAATGCTAATTTTATTGGGTAATTGTTTAATCTGTCTAGTCATGATAGATGAATACCTAGCTGAGATTTCTATCTATGAAAGAGCAGACTTACTTTTGCGGGGGGGACTCGGACGGTATCTATTTGGAGCTGTAATGTAACTTCTTAAAGTAAATGAAGTGGAAGAAAGTGCTTCATTCTGTGGTTTTTCTTATAATAATGACACTTCCAAAGACCTTACCTTATGGACATAGTAGAAGACATTTCATGGACTGTTAGAGTGCTTGTATTTTCTTTAAATTGTATTTATTTTGTTATTATTGAGAATATACAAGAATCCAACAGGTTTTACATGTATAATCAGTGACAACAGGGATTACTTTTCGTTCATTTAAATTTTAAGGTATGACTTTTAAACCATGTAGCTTATATTTTCCTATTTTTTGCATGTTAAAAAATTTTGTGGTGACATTCATGTTAAGTGAACCAAGAGAAATCACATGGGGATTCTGAGTTTTTGATAGTACATAAAATGTGAATTCACATTCCTAATATCAATTCTAATAGTGACATTTTTTAGGGCACTTTTTAATCAATATTCAATAAAAGGTTAAGGTTTGACCATCAAAATGAAGGAGGTCAGTTTAGCATTCTTTATCTGAGATACTTAAATATGCAAAATAGTTTTATTTAAAACTTTTTTACTCTTGGGATATATAACCTTCTAATTTATAAAATGTAAATGTCTATATATATATCCTTAGCAAAAGAAAAATTTAAATCAAAATTAGAAACAATATCTAATGGCTATCACATATACTTCTTCCATGCATTCTTAGACCACAAGGTTAATATGGTCTTTATTCCCCCACTCCATAATTTTTTGGTTACTAGATCCTTAAATCTACGATAATAGCATTACAAATTACCAAAGGACACAGTCTGAACACCTTCCACCTCACTGCCATTAGGACTCCAACCTCAGTACAGACACATTTCTAAGCTTAGGTAGTGTCAGCTACTGACAATGTTCTCAGTTTAGTAAATGAATATATGCAATAACCTAGAAATATAATTTATAGAAATCACTGTGAGCTGTGTAAGTTTGTGCTGATTTTGTTACTTTAATGAAAAGAACCCTATCATTTCTCTGATGGAGAAATCATCCAAACATGGATAGAGGTGTGATTTGTCAGTCTCTTAAAGGCTTCTTAAGCAGCACAGCTAAGATCCCGGCACGCAGGCTTCATGAGTTACCTCTGGTGGTGGTGACCAAAGAAGCGAACGTCAACCTGATTGTCTTCTTTCTGCATGACTTTGGCTGGCCAAAACCCGAAACCTTTCATTTTAGCCCAAACCAGCTCATGATTAGGTATCTGGAAACAAAACATTTTATCTTGTTACATTACTCTTAAAGTATTAAATGGAAGTACACTCTGAATACTGTATTCAGTTAAGTATATATTTTGTAACTCCTAAATAAATGAACCTCCCTCGGGAGTTGGTTGATTTTATCACTAGGGATCAGAATCAATTCTTAATCCAGTTCTCTCAAATCAGAAGTGTGCATTTTACCAAGCCCCTCAGGTGGCTGATACGCAGTCTCTAAACCCTAGTGTCATGCGGGCCTAAATGTCTAGAAAATGCAACAGACTCGTTTTCAGCATTCTTCTTGAAATTATACCTTTTAGGAAAAATTGTATAGCTGAAGCTTCAGGATTACTATGGGTATATACAAACTATTAGCTTTCTTGTGAAAGAGTGAGAAGAAAAACCAAGGTTCATTTATTACTCATTATTGCAACCCAAAGCTTATTTGTCTGTATATAAAACCAAAAAACCAGACTCATAACTGCCGTCAAGCCAAAGCCGACTCATAGTGACCCCTGTGGGCTTTTCTCCCATGGAGCTGCTGGTGGTTTTTAACTGCTGATACAGATTGAAGCCCAACGTGTAACCACTACATCACCAGGGCTCCTATATTTATATATAAGGTCCACATGTTAAATTCAGGACATGGATCATAATCCCATTTCCCCAAAGCTTCAGCTGTTTACATGGCATTAAAACCATCCACAGGAGCCTTTCTAACTTACTAACCCATAAAGACAGAGTAGAACTCTCCTGTGGGTTTCGGAGGCTGTGAATTTTCCTCGGATTAGAAAGCCTCATCTTTCTCCCACAGACCGGCTGGGAGCTTCCAACTGTGAACCTTGTCATTCACAGTCTAACGTATAACCCACTACGCCACCAAAGCTTCTAAAGGAAGGAGCCTTTAGGTGGCACAAATTGTTAAGCCAAGTTAAGCAGTTAGCGACTAGCTGAAAGGTTGGCAAGTTTCAAAACACCAGAGGCTCCTTAGAAGGCAAACCTGATGATAGGCTTCTAACAGGTCACATGTCACAGCTTTGAGCAGTTCTACTTTGCACCACTGGGGTTGTCAAAAATCAGAATCAGGAACAAACCACCATAACAATACTCTGATGAGAATACATCTCTTTAGGAGGGGCTTTAACCTTTCAAAAAGTACACACTCAAAGAAATATAAGCTTTCACCTACACAAGGGTAGCAGAACCAATTGTCAGGACGAGCATTTGACAAATAAAAGCAGTTCTTGCAAAGCTGTAGTTCATCCAGCTGAAACAGAAAAACAATTTTAGACTATATAAAATATACATGTACACCAAACATCATAATAGATTCATGTAAATTAACCTTCATTCATAGATAATCTTAAATGGTGAGCCTTCTATGTCTCTTATAGATGTACGTTAGCTTTAAAATTTCAATAATACTAGAAACATTTTTCACTGGCCTGTTCAAATCATTTCTATTTTTGCACTTACAATATAATACAAATTCCTTACAAGGCCTCCCCCACTCACGGCCATTGAGCAGATTCTGACTCATAGGTTATAGGAGTCTTTAAATCTTTATGGGAGTAGAAAGCCTCATCTTTTTCTAGTGAGCAGCTGATGGTTTTGAACTGATCCTGCAGATAGCAGCCCACTATGTAATCCACCACTCCACCTGCTACCTCTATAAGGTTAGTGGATCGAACCCACCAGCCACTCCAAGGGAAGAAAAATAAATGAGAGTGCCTGCTTCCATAACAATTTACAATCTCAGAAACCCTAATAGGGCTGCCATGGTTGGAACTGACTGGATGGCACCGCGTTGTGTTACTGCCTGGCATGGACCCATCACTGACCTGTGTTCCCATCTCATTTAGTACATGTTTCTTGTTCAGCTCCCAGCTTATATGTTACTTTAAAAAGGTGATTCGGAGAGACCTGTACATAATATATACTACCACCAGCGGTGAGCCTTCCTTTGTCTCATTCTCCATTTTAGTGCCTGCTAGTTTCCTTCATAACCTTTTCCTAACAGGGAAACCGGCAACTTCGCCTGTTTCTGTTTGGACTCGGGGCCCTTCCTGCAGACTGTAACTCCCTGAAGAGGCAGCTTGTGACCGTTCACAGTTCCCTCCCCACCCTTCTAACACATTTCCTGGCACATCATAGACACTCAATAAATACTCACTGAATGAATGAAAGCAAAAAGTCAAATTGAAATACATTTTAAAATGAAACTTCTTATATAATTGAAAATAAAAAACCTCAAAAATTACAAGTGAACTTTTGAAATGAAAAAGAGCACACACAAGAAACTACTTAAATGTATATTTATTATATAAATATGAACCTATATAGTTTAATGTGGACTCAAATTTGAAACTTTCATTCAAATAGGGCACATTTATGGAGTGTTGTCTAAGCCAAAACATTTATATGCTTTATCTAATCAATTCCATAACACTTAGTCACATTACAGGTGAAAAACCGGTTTCCTAAATTACTTAGTAACTAAATCTAATGCCTAGAATTACACTGAGTATAGTTTTGCTAAACACAAAAGCAAAAAGCACCACCTAAAAAAAAAAATGGACATAATGCAAATAGAGGCCAAAAAAATTGGGGACCCTCTTTGCATGAATTCCTATGTATTTCAAATGGGGAAAAATTGTGTAATGGCATTCTTTATATATAAGCAGAGTTTACTAAAAATAAATTTGCATTATAGCCAGAGTTTAATAATTAAGCAGCAATAGTACCTCATGACATGTGTCTTTATACAGCATCCTGGCTATGTCAGCCTGCTCACTGTCTGCTGTAAGTAAAAACAGATACAAACAGTTGTGCGAAGGAGAAGGGGCCTCTACACACAATATACACATGCTGACAGGACATTTCTACATAGGTATGCATGCTGAAAAAGATCTATTATAAAAAATGTAGCAATATACTCCTGTAAAAATAAGCACCAGTTCATTTTATTTTAGGTTAGTGAAAGTAGATATAAACCACGTAAACTCAAAATATATATTTTAAATGAAGTTCAGATAACAACACAAAATTCTATAGGCATCTGTTAGATTCAACGTAATAACCACTACTTCTCTAGGTTTAGAGCAAACTAACCAGTACTAATCAAAACACTCATTAAAACGTTTCTATAAGCTATAATTGCACCACTAAATATTCTTAACAGTTTAAACTCTAACATAATGGCATTTTAAAATCATGAAAGTTCTAAATTTTGTATGTAGTATTTTGTAAATGGTATTTCTCAACATGAAATATACAAATGGTATTTTTAAAAAATCAAATACATGAAAGAAACAAACTATCCAACCTCCATAGAAAACCACTGTATTGTGGAGTAATAGTTGAGCATCAGCTTTGAACTCTTCGTAGCTTCGGTATTTCCCTTCGTTTACTTTCTGCAGAGGAAAATCAAAAAGGCAGAAGAGTCACTGGTGAAAATACTTATGTGTGTTATGTCAGAGCGTGGGGCAACAGCAGCTTCTCCGGGTGACATCGGGGTACTGTGGTGCCACAGCATCGACAGAGAATATGGGTAAAAGGAAACAGTAACTCCATTTCTAGTTGGAATACTGTATTACAAAGAAAGCTGGCAGATTACTTATTGGCAGTCATTATGTGCTCTATATTAATTTGCTGGAATGAATTTTCATCTTAAACATTTCTCTTTGCAATAATGAGGAAAGCTAATGCTAAACTCTAAGGAATGAATTCTTTAGTTAGCATGGTTGATCAAGCTGTAACTATCTTTATAACATAGAGACTCAAGAGTGAAAATTTGAAAAAATAAGATTTTTAAGCAGATAATTTAAAAAGTTGAATTGGCAGTATAGGTATTATTTTGCAAAACTAAAATATAGAATACCAACAACAAGTGTTCCACTATATATCTTGATAATGCCAAGATTTCTTTGTTACATGAAAATGATTTTTTTTATTGAATCATCTTTGCCCACAGAGAAAGATTATAGAGGCAGGCTGAGCAAGTTTCAAGCAAAAATCAAGGAAGTGAAATTTGACAGTCTCAGCTAGTAGAAAAAAGGAAGCATTTTCTTATTCTGTTTATATGCTTAGGAAATTGACTTGGAAACCGGTTGGAATACTAAATTACCTAGAAATCATAAAGAACTCAGTCATCTTCTACCTATTCTCTATCTCTCGTCTTGTAATTTCTGCTCCAGGAGGAGCACCGTTGTGTAGAAATCTTCAACACTCAATTTTATTTATAGATTTTTCTGACTTTTAAGAAGTTTTGCTGTCCCACACTCCCCATCATGATTCAGAATTGTTCGGTCAGATTAGGGGTTGTGCAGTGACCACCACAGTTGACTTCAGCACGGTGTCTTGTGTACTCATTGTTAGCTCCCTTACCCGTTTGTTACCTTAGGAATTTACTGCTCTAGTTAGTGTCTCTGTATTCACCTAGTCTGCATTTCATATACAGAAAATCATAGGAAACATAGACAGGAAGCAAGCAAGCAAACAGAAACTAGCAACCATGACTGGATAAAACAGGGAAAACTTAATAAGGAAAGCAAAAATATTCAAAACTGAAAACTTTTAAAAATGGATCAAAAGGGAGATCAAATGATACGGTATTGCATTTTAACATAACTACATCTGCCACAATTGCTGTGTCTGACAGCATGGCTATTCCCATCCCTGGACTATGGTCAGAGGGAAGTCACTGGAGGCTCACTCCATGTGGGGACCCTGCAAACGGATTTTGGACTTCCATTGTCATCCATAGTCTTCTGCCAACCAGGCCAACGCCCAGTTACATTGCTATTTCTTCTTTGAAGGTTTTCTAAATGCTCCAGTTGCAGTTACCTGATTCCTATGTAGCATCTAGAGCAGTGGTTCTCAGCCTGTGGGTCGCGACTCCTTTGGGGGTTGAACGACCCTTTCAAAGGGGTCACCCGATTCATAACAGTAGCAAAATTACAGTTATGAAGTAGCAACAAAAATAATGTTATGGTTGGAGGGTCACCACAACATGCAGAACTGTATTAGAGGGTCGCGGCATTAGGAAGGTTGAGAACCCCTGATCTAGAGTTACCTGGGTTATTTACAGAAGTTGACATCTGGGTTCTAACCCTCAATTTCTGATAGAATTTGTGAAGGTTGGGTATGGTATTGTTTAAAAACACTAATGTTTAAAACTTCCTCTAGAATAATTCCATTATACAACCAGGTCGAAAAATACAGTTTCCCCAAAGTATTTTGACTTCAACTCTGCAGTTATTCTTGGCTACATTTTGCTGTGTGTTCAGTCTGAAGCATAAAAATCATGTCCTCTGCTTTGCTTGTCTCACAGAGCTGTTGTTCATCCTAGGCTCTGCAACAACGGGCTCTAGCACAGGACACTTGTGAGGACGGTGCGAGGTCGAGCAGGGTTTGCTCTGTGGGCACAGGTCTTGCTAGCGGTTAGGACTGACTCAATGGCACTTAACAACAGGCCCTTGCTAAACACACTGCCATGGTGGCGTGAACTCAGTGACGATTAACCTAAGTCGAAACTGATTAAATGGCCCCAACTACAATTTAGGAGAAAGGGCTATGTTCAGAACTGTCATCTGGGGGTTCAAACCCATTGCCATCAAGTTGACTGTGACTTATAACAGCCCTCAACTGGGTTTCATAGGTTAATAAATCTTTAATGGAATCAGAGTGCTTCATCTTCCTCCCTTGGAGTGCATGGTAGGTTTGAACCAATGATCTAGGGGAGCAGTCCAATTTTACCCTATCGCACCACCAAGGCTACTTTTATCTGTCCCAGGATTTATCAGTTGCATTCAAAGGAACAACTTTCATTTATCTTTTAACCTCAAAATATGAGCGCCTCAGTCTTTCTGAGCTACTAAGGTGATAAGGAAGGAGCTTCGGTGGCCTAGTGCGTTACATGTTTGGCTGCTAACTAACTACAAGGTGAGCATTTCAGATCTACCAGTTGCTCAGCGGAAAAGACAAGGCTGTCTGTTCTTGTCTGGGATTTGTAGCCTGGGAAACAAGCTCAAAGGGGCAGAATAGTACTTGTAATTGATTAAATGTCCATGGTTTATATTTGACGGGGTAAGGAAACTTTTAAAATGATCTTGCACTATTCCCTTGGCAGTTCCTATAGGTTATTATACCTAATCGTAAAAACTTAAGTGGCACAAACCAAACACCCCCCACCAGCTCACTGCCATCGAGTGAATGCCAACTCCTAGCGACCCTGTCAGCAGGGTAGAGCTGCTCCTGAGAGTTTCTGAAACTAACTGTTCATGGGAGTAGAAAGTCTCATCTTTCTCCTGTGGAGTGACCAGTGGTTTCAAACTGCTGACCTTGCAATTAGCAGCCCAACTCATAACCACTATGCCATCAGGGGTCCTTTTTAATGACACATGTGGCATAAAATTAATCATTACAACACCTTGGAAGGAAACATCTCTAAATCTAGATTTTATAATAACATTTAATATCAAACTCATTAAAGTTTTCAACTGTAGTGTATAAAATGAAGAACTTTAGAAAAATAATTTTCTGGTAAAAATCTTTATATTGTTCAAGTTCTTCCCATAATTGCCCAACTCTAGATTGGGTCTGGAATCACAGTTTTACCTAAGAGAAACCTTTGTGAATTATTATGTGTCCAGAAATAAATTCTGCACATGAGATATTAAATTGACCAGACTACAATGAATTTTTTTAAACCAGCAAATATAAAAATCTATAGGCTTAGGTATGCAGAAAGCTCTGGAAGACTGAAAGCACAAAATCCACATTGATTAAAGCTTCCATTGAATCCTCTCTGAACAATGACCAGGGCTATGAATAATCTTGCCCTCAGACTCACTTGATAAGTCTTAGGAGGGGCAGTCTCCCAGGAGGACTTGCCTGGGTGTGTCCCTGATAGAGATCACCATGGGGGAGGGTGCCTTGGGGAAGCCCCTGGACCAATCATATACGCTCCTGGGTCTACCACAACGTAAGTGTCCCAATCATGGCCCCGTTACTATGTCCAACTGTGATATTTTTATTTGCCACATGTCGTTCACATGTGAGTTTTCCTTGACCTCCCATGTCCCTTCTAAAGTCCTATATATCAGCAAACCCTCAGACATCATTATGACCCTGTGCCAGTGGCCCCTCTCCCATCTAGGGAATATGTCTTTATCTTCCTCTTAAGACTAGCATGAGGGTTCTCTTAAAATAAAAATAAATCTAGATTTCTTGGTTTGTGCTCTGTTTATTGTATATTTACCATAATAAACATTTGATAGTTTTACTTTTAGTAAGAAAATGGGAAAAGCACACTCTCAAGAATAACAAAAAGAATCAATGCTTGTTAAATTATCATTTAATTTGATAATTTAGAAACTATACTTGCAGTAGAAAGAAACAATCCACTTTACCTCTTGTATGGTGGGAACATCCACAGCAGAATGTACCAGCCTCCTGTACATCGGATGCTTATTATCTTTCCCCTTTTTATTGAGATCGATAGCCTGAAAGATTGTTAGAGATATCGATTTTAACTATAGCTAGAAAAGGACAGGTCAAGTATCAATTCCTAAATTCAAACTATTTTTAATCTCTGGTGATTAAAGATGGGAATTATCACATGGAATTCAGGACAGAGAAAACCCTCAGGAACAGTAGTAGGAGCAGCACTATCATAAGGGGGGAGGGAAGCAGGAGAAAAGGGGAACCCATCAAGGTTGAATCTATAGTCCCCCCCAACCTCGAGGAGGACAAATCACAGAAATGTGAGTGAAGGGAGACAACGGACAGTGTAAGACATGAAATAATTATAATATATACTTGATCAAGGATTCAGGAAGGTGGGAGGTTGGGGGGGAGGGGAAAAGATTTCAAGAGCTCAAGTAGAAAGAAAATGTTTTGGAAATGTTGATGGCAACATATGTACAAGTGTGCTTAATACAATTGAATGATAGATTTGTAAGAGCCACCAATAAGATGATTAATAGTAAATAAATAAAATAGGAATTTTCAGGGATAAGGCTCATTCCAATAAATGGAATTTAAAAATGTAAATGTTTCTAAACTAATGTGGCAAAAAACGAAGACAAAACAATACGGTCTTTCATAAGACTATTTTTGGCACAAAGCAATATAATTGCGGTTTTCACAATTACAATGCTTCTCATTAACTTGTTAAGTATGAACCAGAGTGCCACATATACTCAAGTATAAGCCGAGTTTTTCAGCACATTTTTAATGCAGTTTTTGTGGTAAAATTAGGTGCCTCAGCTGACATTTGGGTTGGCTTATACTCGAGTATATATGGTTAAATGCATTTTGGGAGATTCACAAAGATTCCCTCACAGGACTCACCCGCTCCTTCATGCGGGAGACAATGAATCTCAGGTATGTGCTCATCTCCTGTTTGTTTGTATTTTTTTTCTTAATGCTCTGTTAAAAAGAAGAATAGGAAAATATAAAATTCAACCATTTATATATCTGTATTCACGTAAAAGACATGCATATATAAAATATATTATTGAAACATTTTAAGATTTAAATAAATCTATTTACAGCTTATTGATAAAAAGAAATCTTTGAAGTTTGCATGCCAAATTTCTTTTAATATAACACACTGAGAAATGAAAAATATCTTGTGCTTGACAAAATACTTTAGAGAATTGTGCATTTTTCTTTTCTTCTTACATATTGAATGGTGAATTTTAATACATTATTCTTTGTTAGGTTATTAGGAATCTGTGTACAGTATAGCTGCACACTCTGACATATTAAAGTCTTAGGGATTTATGTAGTTATAAACCTAATTTAGTAGTCTGGCCTTAAAGTTAATTGGGTTCTTCCCAATTTTCTTATTACTCAGAAAATCTAACTTGAAGTGTGTGTGTGTGGGGGGGAGACAGTTTTATACCTTTGTTTCCCCTGTCATTTATAGACAACCAGGAAACAAGGAGAAATGTTTTTTGTTTCTTAGGTCAAAAGACATAGGCATTCAGACTTTACAGTGGTCTGAGGAAAGCACAGGCAAAATATTAGGTAGCGAGAGTAATGAGATCATACTTCAGAGAAACTGAATAGATTTGAGGCTACTATTTATGCTTTAAATTTTAAAAAAAAAATCAGAGTATGATACTCTGCCCAATGGTATGATTACTTCCCAAAGAACTTGACATTCAAGAAGACGTTTTAGTATGCTAAAGGTAGTAAAGAGCATTTCTCATATAATGGAGACTCGCTTTGCTATAGCTTAAGGTAATTGATTATATATACACATCACATTCATGTTTTACATGATATCCTTCTTTCCACTTGGATTCTTTGTCAGTGCATACACATAGCCAGTACCCCTTGCACTATTCAGCTTTATTTTGACCTCCGTGCACAATTTATGTCAATTAGAGAAGAGCTTTCCTCAGCCGTGGCCATGTACCAGAGCCACTGATGGAACTGCTTTTCAGCTATGACCATCTGAGATGGAATTTCGGGGGGCAGGGCCTGTGACTTGTACCTGTGTGTTCATTTATGCATTAATGCCACAGGAGATTTGACATGTGGTACCAATGGTAGACATGGACTTTAACATGCAATGGCATTTCCTAGAGGCCAGATTTAGAATCCCTTGCAGGTGAGTCAGGATGGTGCAAGTCTCAATTTTAACCAAATCCTTACATGACTCTCACACACACTAACGTTGGGTGACGACTGCTTACTCTCCTCAAGGCAGCATGTAAATGTTTAGGGAATGCTCCCGGGTGCTCTGATCGTGATCACATAGACGTGTGGAAGTAACTACAGGTCCACTGGAAGGTACTGAGTACATGTATTTTAAATACATAATTTTTTCCCCTTTCTGCTCCCTAAATTCATCTAAGTACCTTTCACTCTGTGATGTAATCTAATCACTTTAGTTTAGAACCTCAGAAAATGGTAGAAACAAAATTCTTTCCTGATGGGCAAAATTATCTATAGTTAGAATCAGAATCATTATTAGAAGTTCTATGAACCTGTATGGAGAAACCTTATTTTACATTGATTCGGTATAGGTAATTTGTACCAACTAACTTAACTTGTTGTTCATGTATTTAGTTTAAATAAAAAGTATTTTCAGTTGCTACTTTTTTCAGTAAACCATTAACATGTTCTTAGAATGCTTTGAGTCTGGGTGTCCTGCTCACAGTTTTTACGTGAATCGCTAATTCAGCATAAATATGTGCAGTGACAGTTCCTCCTGCTTTGTAAGGGACACTTTAGAAGCACAGAATTCCTGTACCCACAACTACCATGGGGCCAAGTCTGACTCATAAAAGTCCAAACCAAACCCCTGCAACCCAGGCAGCTCCGACTGGTAGTGCCTATGCTGGTTTCTGAGACTAACAATTTCTAAACTAGATTTTTTGTGTTTTATGAAAATCTAGCCATATAGCTAGGTTATCTCTTTTTATCTAAGTGCTATTAAAAATGGTAAGGGGAACCCATTGCAATGATCGACACATAACCACACCTTCCCCCGGGGGGACAGTGGTCAGTGTAAGAGATGAAAATAATAATTTATAATTTATCACCGGGTCCTGAGGGTTGGAGGGAGGGCAAAAGAGAGGAGTTGATACCAAGGGCTCAAATAGAAAGTAAATGTTTAGAAAATAATGATGGCAACATATGTACAAGTATGCTTGACACAATTAACATATGGATTGTTATAAGAGCTGTAAGAGCCCCCAATAAAAATATTGTAATATAAATAAAATAAAAATGGTAAGCTAAGCCTGGGGAAAATGACCATTTCTGCAAAGTATGAAAGGACACAAGGGAAGGATGGAATGACTTTCATTGTTTAAATGAATGTTAATCACATCATTCTTTATAGCTCTACCTATTGGAAAACTGTCTTTAAAGTCCCTTGAAAGTACCAGCTTCTTTAATACTACTTCTGGAAACACACATACCTCTTTTTTAACACTGTGCTACAACTCAGATTTAGAAATCCCACTTCAATGTTTACTAATTTTGGATGCATGTTAGAACCATCTCAGAAATTTCTGGAAAACACTGTCCATTATATAAAGTTCAAAAACAGGCAGTACTCATCCTTAGATGGAAACAGATTCAACCAATGGTCCTCTAGGAGAACGGGGGTTCTCTGGGGAAGGTGCAGAGGACTCGAGTTGCTCAGTAGATGCTTGTACGTGAGTGCTTCCGCAAACGGCACGGCTAATGGTCATGCCTGTCATTGTCATGCAGGATTTACCTCAAAGAAAAGAACTAATATCTAGTTGCAACCCACAGAGATCCTGATAAAATTGATTAGGGGTGTATCCTGGGCATCCATTGTTATATATGCTTCCCAGGTGTTTCTAATATGTAATCATGATTGAGAACCACTAACTACATTTTAAAAAGACTATAACTCATACATATATAGTCAAGCAAACCATGATGGATTAGTTATGATTTTAACCTTCTCTGATATATGGACAAAATATAAAGTGGCATATTTTCAAAACCTGTTTTTAAAAATCTACTTATACAAACAGGAATCTGTCTCTTTTTATATGAGCCTGAAAATGCTGTGGTGGTTGTCTTTTTAAGTATTTATTGGTCCTTTTAAGTTACTATGGTTATATACAAGGATTAATCAAAGAGAGTTTCCAAACTCTCTATGTTCTGTGCTTAAAACGAACAGAAAAACCTTAGTTGCTACTCAGAAATGTCGGGCACCAGCAGACAACGTAAGGCCATTCTCCAGAATTTAAATATATGTAAAAAGCAACTGAAATAGAGAACGATGACCCCTTGAGCTTTGTAAAGCACACTCTATGCAGCCATAAAAGGTTAGGTATGAGGACTAGACTTTAGGCTGTTCAGAGCGATGCCAGAGACTTGAAAGGAAGATGCCTCCCAAATGTGTAGGCTAAGGAGCCCTTCTCAACGGACTGAAGCAAACAGGAAAGGCAACATTTCCCTTAACGTAGAGGGACAACACACTTGTGTTATGATACTTCCACATCTGTGAAGGGTTTCTTGAAAGCATTTCTTTCTAACACTTTCTAATTATAATATACAGAGTTAATATTTCGCAGACGAAATCAACAACCTAGCACTGGTATTCTAAGAATTTGGATGAATCTCTTGGGTAACAAAATGTGGAGCTGCACGTAACACATGAAGTTCAAAGTGAAGTGTTTCAGTTGGAGCCAAACCAAGGTGTTTATAATAGTTTGAGAAAAAGCTACTGTAATTAATAAAAATTAAAAGATTAGCATCTAATAATGTTATTTTGTTTGTGACATAATTAAGCAGCTAGATATTGACAATATGTCAAAAAACAAAATGGCACTCCTTCATGTCTGCAGATTATTTGAGACCCCGGTTTCTTCACCAAAGGTTAATCTGTATCTATCATAAGAAAGCTGATGGTGCCCGGCTATCAAAAGATATAGCGTCTGGGGTCTTAAAAGCTTGAAGGTAAACAAGCGGCCATCTAGCTCAGAAGCA